ACAAAATGTTTTTTTTTTGGGGGGGAAAAATGGGAAAGTGCTAATAATCTAGTTTTCATGCAATTCTACGTCTACAATTAGTTTCATGAAAGGTCTATGATTAGTGATTTTTCATAAATGTACTTTTCCATACTCCAAAGACGCCAACTTTTTGAATTTGAAAATTTAATAAAAGATCAATTTTGAAATTTAAAATTTTCTTTCATTTTCCAAGCGGCTAAATTTTTGATTTTGAAATTTTAATTAATGGTGCATTGTCCAAGGCTCGCAGAAATATGCAATACACAAGGAAAGTTTTTTCAGCGTTTTTAAAAAAATTTATAGAAAACAATAAAAAAACTACGTGATGCACACAAAAAATTAAACTTTCCATGCAGAAAAAAAAAACTTTTTTATGGGAAAAATTAGTTTCACGCATGAAAAAAGCAAATTTTTTTTTGCAATTTTAAATTATTTTTGTTGTTTCTAATGATACACCGATGATGAGACTATGGCAAAACAAGAAAAAAAATCTTTAATTGTTGATGGCATTATTTTAGCAAACAAGTATGAACTTTATGTGCCCAGCATTTTTTCAGATACTTATGGAATCGTATCACTAGCATTTTTGGTCTAGGGGGTCAACCCGGAATATTGTTTTTTTTTTCATATAATTTGGCTTGTTCTAGCAGTTTACTTACAGAGCCTTGAAACAACTAAAAAAACTAAAACCGCGAAAAGCTCAAAGCGAAAAAGTGAATCGCAATTATGACTCATGGTTCTAAACTATTTGTAAAACGAGCTGCAAAAATAGTTTAAAAAGTCTGTTTGAAACTACTGCGCATTGAATTGTTTAATTTTGGCCTGCCTCATAAAGCCTTTTCTACGCTGTGTTTTTTTTATCCAATTTTGCATTGAAAATTTTTCCTCTTCCTTTTTTATGTTTCAGGGTAAAACCGAAATGAACCAAGTTTTGTTGCATTTCGGGAAAAAATCTTTTCTTAAGCTTCTCAGTGTTTTGATTTTTTTTCGAAACTCATTGGTCTGAATCCAAAAGCGAGCCAAAAACCTCCATTTCAAACTTGTCAGTAAGCAGTCAAATTTTCTAATACTCAATTATGTTTGGCTGAGAAATGACAGGCAGCGTAGTTTTGAAATATTCAATCAAGCTTTGTTTAAAACTAATTTTTTAAATTAAAAAATATTTAAATAAAATTGACTCTGAAACAATTTTATCAAAAACAATATTGCTTGATAATTCTTGAGATTTTTTATAGTTGTTTTTTATCTAACAACACTCTTTGCAAATTACTATTGCAAATTCAATAATTTGTAACAAGGTACAAAATCCTTTTAGTAAATTATTATTCCGACTTCTGAAAAAAGTCAGGAATACATTTGCTTGGGGTCGTTTGGGTTCCAACCTGCACAGAAATTGAGAAAGATATAATATATGCTCCGGGTGTTTTTTTTTAATTCAGGCCATTTTTCAAATCAATTCTTTCACTCGTTGGGTTGATCTCTGGATTTTGGTTGGCTCAGATGAGTTTGCACACACTCTTATTTTATTCCTATCATGAGTCTAGCTAAACTGCTCGTTTTATATTTTAATGCTGGAAGTGTAACGCGCGCTATTTACGCGTGGCAAATTATCCCGCACTCAAAATTGTTCCAAGTTGAGTTAAGGCAAGCTAACTGGTCTTACTTGTTTTTATATAGGACTCAAACCTTAACACCTTAAGGCTAACTGGTCTCATTAATTCCATGCGCGACTCAAATTTGACGAAACCAGTTCAAGGGCACTTGAATTATTCAGGGTTTTGCCATGATACAGCAGTCTCATTTTTATATAGGGATAGGTTTTAAATTTTTACTAGGCAGGGGAGAAGAATATCCACATTGTCTAGTAAACTTTACAGAGCTCCAAGTGTATGGTAAGCTGTCTATGAAAAAAGCAGCTCTAGCAAAACGATGGTCCTTGGGAAAACCAAGCCAACAGTAAGATTTTATTTGAGTTTTAGACACTAAACGGCCAGAAAAAAATATTTCTGAGTCTTAAGCTGTATCTCTGACTGAGCCAATAAATATTTTCTGCAGATAAAAATAATAGCCAAAATCACCGAGTGGAACGTTGTCAAAAAAAAGCAATTTAATTTGAAGCCACCTGTCAGTTTTTGCCAAAATAAAATTTCAATAAAAAATTTCAACAGGACAATTCTACTTTTTTGGTCATTTCCGCTAACAATCTTATTTAGTCTGGAATTAATTTTGAAGTATTGGGCCGTGTTGATTAAATTTAATTGGCTAATCAGCCAATCATAAACAACCATATTAGTTTGAGTTCAAGATATAGATATAATAATTTTGAACCGTTTTGGGCATAAGACCCCCAATTTTGATTATTTAGTACGAAACTCATTCCCAACTATAATCTAAAATCAATCAATACACATATCCGGCTTCACAGTGGCTGAAACCAAACCTTGATTGCTGCGAAAGAATGGACCGGACCCACGCGCCCCTATGCTGACAGCGGGATAGTGAAAATGGAATTTTCTATCTACTTAAAAAGTCTGCTTAATTTTATGTTCTAAGATTTATCAAAAAATTTTTGGTCTCGATTGTTTCTGGTCTCGGTTCTGATTAATTATAATTCATGCGAAATCCGATTAAAGACTTTTTTCGAATTAACGTCTTGTGTAACAAAATCACTTTAAACACCTGATAGCTTGATTGGTAATAGTTTATTTTGTTAGAATCTTCGGTTCACTTGGCAGGGAGGGAACGGTTACGTCTGAGACGGCTCAGCTTCTAGATTTGAATCCGCTAGATTCTAGAATCGGCTCAGCTTCTAGATTTTCAAAATCTTAGCCAAGTTTTGTTCAGAATAAGCATTCTTCATAACAATGCACCACTTAAGAATCATATCAGATAGTTAGATCGGTCGGATTTTGAAATGCATAAATTACACACATGAAAAACCCCTTCAACATATTTTGTTTTTCAAAACTCCTAAACATCAATTAGAGGTTCAAAGTTTATGAAAAACCCAATAACTTCTAAAGAAGCTCATGAAATTGAGAAATTCTTCGAAATAGGTTTCAAATTAATCTCATTTTATGACTTTTTGACAAAATGTTCGGCTTGAAGTCCCTAGTTTTACGATGGGATTTGAAGTCCCGTCGGCTTGATTTCCGGCACGCAGCTAATATGTCCTTTTAATTTTGTACGGCTTAGAATTTCTACGTACGTCTATTTTCTATTTGTGTTTTTGTTCCGACATACGAAGAAAACAGAATATTTATGCCCGGTGTAATTTTTTTATTTTCGCAGATTTCGCCAACGAAAAAATTGCTTTCGACCAAAATTTTCTATACTCCATTGAAGATATAGAATTCTTGAGTTCAAATCTAAAAAGTTATTTTACCTCCGATTAATTTTTGTAAAGTTCTGTGGGTTTGAAAGTTGCCAAACTGGCCATGTTCTGGACTAAGTTATGCGCGCTTTGAACAGTTTATTCAATATGCTGAGAGCGTAACGCGAATTATTATAGCGTTGCGGCGAATTAACCTGCAGAACAAAATCACTCCAAATTGAATTGAGCCAATTGGTCGTATTAATTTCGTACGACCCAAAATTTTACACTTTGATATTGTCCAAAGTGTAGGGACTTTCAATATTTTTTTCCCAAAAGCTATTCGATATGAATTAAGGGACAGTCGGAACATTCAGGGCTTTGCCCTGATATACGAGCAGTCTTGTTTGTTACTAGGAGCGAAATTTATCACTTTGTCCTTTATATGGTTTGATTTTTAAAAAATCTAAATTTTTTTAAAAGTTTTTTTTTTCATTTTTTTTTCTCGAAAATTTCATCAATTGTTATAAAGCAAACACTACCTCATAGAACTTATAAGGCAGTCGAGAAACTCAGGGCTTCGCCCTGATACGTGCAGTTTATTTAGGTTGTCGTATTAACAGCTGCGCCGTCTTATTTGGCGGTCATGAGGGATATATTCGTTAAGTAGATAGTAGATCCAAAATATCCAAATTGAGAATTGGTTAAATAGTCCGTTCTGTTCTTTGACCCGCGCTACTCTCCTTGGCCATTCCGCTCTCTGCAGTGTAAGCCCCCCACCCCCCTCTCCAATTTTGTATTTAGAAAATAGATTTTTCGGAGAACACTCTCGTACGATTCATACTTCATTGATTTAGTCGTTTGTTGCAATGAAAATTGTCATTAGTTTCATTCATTTCTATAGTACATAATGTTAACGCTTAAGCTTATCAGCAATTTTTTTAAGATAAAATCCAGAAGTTAAAGTTCGAGGCCAAAAGAACAACCCTTATCCACAAATTAACGGAACATTCTTATATTTAAAGCAAAAATTTTCAAAGTTTCTTAGCTTTCGGGCATTTTTTTTTCTTTCAGTCGAGTTATACGCTCACCAGGTATGCCAAAACTAAAAAATATTTTTTGATTGATTTCAATATTGGGGTTTAATTCGTATTTAAAGCAGGTTTCTCCGCATAACTTGGGCCAAATAATCCTTTAAAGTCGGCAAACTTTTGAGTTTTCGTTCCGGTTGAGCTTCGCTGTATAAATACTTGACCAATTTTTCGAAGTCTCAATTTCGAATTCATACGATATTGAAAGATAACTGTTTGCTGTTGAAATATCGTGAACGGTGCGAATTCATAGGTTCCAAAAAAAAAATTAATCCCATAGGTTCCAAAATAAAAAAGCAGTCGCATAAGTTCCAAATCTTTTCAATTGGTCAAAAGACTAAATTAGCCGAGTCTCGGTTTAAGGTCGCCTCTTAGCGGCGACAACCGGCTCTAACCTTCGTATAGAGTCCTACCCTTTGGTGGCAAGCTCGCAACACGTTGGCGCGGCTGCGGCGGTCACTATTCTGCAGCTTGAATTTATGCTGGTTGAACAGTAAACAATCAAACTATAAAATCGTTGGCTCAAATTTCAACCAATCAGAATTCAAGAAGATAAATTTCGGAACCTATGAAAATTGCAACCTATTGGAATTCACCTCGTGAACTGAAAAAAACCTTCGCGCTTAAAAATGCCGTCTGCAGTTAAAAAGAGTCATAAGAAAGGGGCGACATCGGCGGCACTCGAGGACAAAAAGCAGCAGAAGGCCAAGGCAGACCCCACCCGACTTACAAAGAGATGATCAAACAGGCAATTGTTCAGTTGAAAGAACGCAAGGGGGCTTCCAAAAAGGCCATCCAAGTATGTAAACATTAAACAAGTCAAGGCACGATCATTTGAACGGGTGCCGGACATCAAGCCGACGGGACTTTAAGCCGAATCGTAAAATTAGCGACTTCAAGCCGAATATTTTCTTATAAAAGTTGTGAAATATGATTTGAACGAGTCGCCGAGAAAACCGACTGCCAAAAAGGCGTCGCCGTCGCCGAAGAAATGCAAAATTTGCATCGACAAAAATTTAGCTGTCCGTCTGAATTCGGCCGTGTGCACCTATTGAAATTAGTTCATATCTTTCAATCTTAGTGTTAAATTTTCAGTTTTTCTTTTTTTTTAGAAATATATCAAGGAAACTTGGAGCATCGAGGAGAACTCAAGAACCAACGGGTCTTTGAATCGATCGTTGCGGTCTATGATAGAGAACGATGAAATTGCCCACGCGGTTGGCCAGAAAACGACAGGCGCAAGTGGTCGATTTCGCCTCGTCACTTCGGCAATGCAGTCGGGTGGTAGCGGAGGAGCGAAGAGTCACGACGAGTCGGAAACACCGAGGGGCCGAGGACGCCCGAAGAAGTCGCAGAATGAGTCGCCGAGAAAACCGACTGCCAAAAAGGCGTCGCCGTCGCCGAAGAAATCTCCACCGATGAAGAAGGGGTCGAAAAAATGAAACCAGTGAATTTATTGAAAATAAGTTCAGTGTCTATGGCGCTGAATCAAAAATGAACTTTTCCCAAACTGATTTCAAGGGTTATGATGGAGCTGTTCCAAATTGATGTGATATTTATATCGCTTAAATATTGAACTGATTTTGGGTATAACTACAAGCTGTTTGCTTGGTTTTCACCTAAAATTTTGAACTGATTTAATGTTTGAATTGTATGAATCATTATCTTGTTTTGACTTCCTTGACGATTTGATTCTTGAGGCTGTGTGTGTTCTGATTTAGGGACCCAAGTCAGAATTTTGGGTCCCAACTACCTGAATCATCTTAAAAATGCTCCATCCATCTTTTGAATTAACAATCTTTTTATAATTGAAACTATTTCAGGGTGGGTTCCGGACATCCGGCCGACTTCAAGTCGAATCATAAAAATAAGGTCTTCAAGACGAACTTTTTCTTAGGAATTAGTTTGGGGGTATTGTCTGCCCAAAGAACAATATTTAAACATCTTGAACATCAAACTTCAGCACCATCTTCAACGGTCGTGTTCACAATTTTAAGTCGACTATTAAATAAGCCGAACTGACAAAAGTATAGAAAGTTTGGTAATTATTCAATTTCGTTTCAATTAAGCTGCAGAGTTTTATCCAGACCAGAAAAGAAAAACAAAAAATCGACCACCTTCACACAGGCGCGGATTTAGGATTTTATCGAGGGGCGCGGATTTTCAAAAATAAAAAAAAACTCCAGACTTTTTTTGGGTCGACCAAATTGATTTTTCGAGCTCTCCCACAGAACTAAAAAGGCCCTGTTTTGGCCTAAAACTTTGAAGAAACAGGTCCATAAAGCGCGTATTTATGCACTTTCGGAAAATTTTGACCAGAATTTTTTTTTTTGGGGCACGCTCCCTCTCAGAATTAGTAAATATTGGCGCCAAACGAGGATTTAGCCATTTTTAAGGGGGTCCCTCACAAAAAATAGATACAAAGTTCGGTACCCTTTGTGTCGGCAGGGGGCCGCCCCCCTAAATCCGCCGCTGCCTCATATCTGCCCTAAAGTTGGCCTGGTTTGAAATCGGCAAAAAAATAGAGAAATCGCATTTGTATGAACAAAACCAATCAGTGCGAGCTGTGTTTTGTTCTCTGCGTTTTTACCTTGAATATTACAAAATCGCAAAGGTGAGAAATTTGGGCTGAATAAGCAAAAAGTAGAATTTCAAGCGCTCAAAACAAAAATTTATTAAAAAAATGTAAGTTTGTCAGAAATGCAACTAGTATATTTTAAATCATTGTTAACCACGTGCGGTGTTGAACTCCAGGTTGAGAAACATTTTTTTTGAATGGTATGACGAATTTATATATTTACTTAGCCACGGGAGATAGCAATAAATAGAGGGATATCTTTAACTATATTACCCTTTTGCAAAAGTGCGGGGGGATTCATTTTTAGGTACCCGAGGAAGGATACAGTTGAAAAGATCCGAGCAAAGCGAGTAATTTCTGACTGCGAAATTCAAGAAAGTTAGCTTAAAACAGAAATCTGGATTAGATTGATATTTGTGATTTATTAATGAATAGTTGAATCGTATATACTTCTGAAATTTCTTACCATATAGCAGTTTCAAAAAGTTTTCAGTTTATAACATATGCCGCAGTTTTTGCACATAGTCAATCATTTTTTAAGATAACACTGAATTAGTTTTTTAAATGTGTGACTTTGTGACCTTGTGTTAAGTGTTGCTAGGCTAACAACAAAAATGATTCACAACAACCAAAAACGATAAAATCTTTTCCCTTCTTCGAAAAGGCCTAAAATAGAATTTCGCCCGTAGCCTGTAATATTCAAATATCTCAGACAGACGCATGCAAAACATTCGTTGTTTTAAAGCATTGCAACTTCAGTGCGACTTTGAATTCAAGTTTTTTTTTATGAAAAGCTTCCCACTCGAAATCATGCAATAAACCACTTACAAGAGTGGCTTTCGGCAAAAAAAAATTTTTGGTATAAGTTTGATAACTATCTCTATTTTTAGAAAAAAAAAATTTTTAAGACTTACCTTGAACAAAAAATTAATTCTTTTAGGGTTTAGAGAGTAAATTTGAAAATTGAAATTTTATTGAAATTTGATAATAACACTTTGATTTTTTTGTTCAAAATTTATTTTGTTATACGTTCCTAGGGCGCACAAATAACGGGAAAATTAGAAACACTAATGAAATAACACTATAAAAAACAGGTTAACGGTCAAAGTATTTTTTAGGAAAAATCATAAATGAATTTGTATTAAATTTTTAAATGTAATATTGATTCTAAAATTAAACTAGCGTTAAATCAAGCAAAACAATTTGTAGGTTTTGCAAAAAAAAAATTGCAAACGGTTTGTCAGATATAAAGTTTTTTTTGCTCATAATCTTTGTTCCAGTAAAAAAAAATTGTTGAGAACCAGCATAGCTGGTTACTGTGCAAGTTTCGGGTAATGTTTCAATGATATTCTTTTAAAAACTAAAAAAAATTTTGCGTTTTCTTTAAGTTATTGTCTTTTTTTGAGTGAGGTGTAAGGAGTGAGGTGTAGTGAGGTTTTTGAGAAGTGTATAAAAGCGGAAAAATTCAGCGAAATCTTAACAACCTAATTATGTGTGATGATGTAAGTTTTGTTTGAAGACCATGACTGTTTGATAGAAAATGTTAAGATTTTGAGTCGATGCGAACAAAATTCATGTGCGATTAGCTCTTTCCATTCAAGCAGAGTAATGACTGATTAGCAGAAACTCTCAAAGCATAGGTGAGTGAGGACTCTCAACTAACTAAATAATGATCGTTCATGTACCGTAACCACTTTAATTACCGTTAAATCTACACGATAGCTTTGAGTTGCTTGTTTATGTCCGGGGTGGCTCACCCATAGAGTATTTTCAGATAAAGTACACGGTCTGTTCGTCATGCTATCTTATTTTCGGCCGGATAGATTCGTGCAACTTCTTAGTCTCATAACGATCTTAATCTTACTCTTATATCTCCTAGTCTCAATAGATCTCGTGTATACTGGTATTTGCGAGATAAGATATCAGGAACTATTCTGAAGGAGAAAAATTGTTTGCTAATTTATATTTATTTTATTCTATTCTGTTGCTGAAACTATGAATAGTTTCAGCCTTACAAATTTTTTCTAAGTGTTAGTTATGGATCATGATTGATTAGTAAGAAATATTTTTCAGAGATAGTTTGATCAATAATATAATTGGATATAAAGTGGTTCCATTGCTATCAAACAGCTAGATTGTAATGGATTTGTAACGCAGTCAAATTAATGATACCCGCATCCAAGTTTAGGCGTAAATGATCGATTATAATGGATTATTATGATGACTTTTTTGACAATTCTAAATGATTATAATTACCAAAACTAGGTGCTTAAAGGATTTATAATTGATTAAAATCGTGATATTTTCCAAAAGATTATAATCTCTTATGATCGATTATAACTGATTATTGTTATTACAAAAAACCCTTAGAATCAATTATAATCGATTATAATCTCTTATTTTGCCAAAATTTTGTCAATTCAAAACTATATTCGAATTATATCTTATGGGTTATTATTTTTGTGTCAATAAGAAAATCTCTAAAAGAGAGATCTCTTGAACACTTTGGTTCATCTGAACACAAAGTTTTACCTCGAAACAAAAGCTTCATAGAGATCCTTTCATTTTAGTGGAAAGATTCCCGCGGTAGATTAAATCTTCCGAATCAATCATGACTCTAAATCAATTTGCTGATGTTTTGATGGTTAAATTACTTAAAATATGCATCACGAAACACTCCAATGGGGAAAAAATGAAAAAAAAAACTTTATAAATTTGAATTGGTTGGATAACATTAAAAACATTTTTCTCATTTTTCATAGGAGCCAACGTCTACAAAAAGCATAAAATATAAGCAATTTAGATGCAATTTCAAAAGCAAAATGGACAAACAAAAGGGATTATAATCAATTATAATCAATTATAATGGATTTTTGTGCAACACTAATGAATTAGAAATTTGAATAAAAATAATGAATTATAATCATTTATATTTGATTACAGTTCTATCGAAAAATGGACGAATAAAAAATTGATAATAATCGATTATAATGGATTATAAATAATTATAATTTGCTCTTAAAAAGAAAAATTGAAATTGACTATGATTTGATTAAAATCGATTGTTTCTCAATTTTAGTGAGACTGGTACTAAAATCGTAAAATAATCGTTTATTAACGCTTGAAATTGGATGCAGGTGGTCAACAATTTTTTTTATCTCGATGAGGATATTAACTTTTTGAGCTCAATTTCAAAAGATTTCTGACTGCCATGGGTTTAAAAAGCTAAGAGGCTCTGGAGAATTTTTGTATAAAGCGCGTTGTTAAACATTACGAGGCCAAACTGTGTACTGATTAGTCAAACAATTTGCGCGCTGAATAGGCACACAACTCAAAAAAGACACAGTTTAGTCTCGTAATGGAAACATTGTTTGATTCTGAAGTCGTGAACGAAAATGCATAAAAAACTCTTCAAGCTCGCCGCACACAAAATTAATCCAAATTGCAAGCAAATCCATCACAAAAATTATCCAAAAGAACTAAACAAGACTACTCGTATCCGGGCGAAGCCCTGAGTGTTCCGACTGCCTTCAAAGGTCTATGGAGCAGTAATAACAAAAAACAATTAAATGTAATAAAATAAAAGGATTTTTTTAAATTTGATTTTTTTTTGTAAAAACCATCCCCCCACACACCATATAAAGTACAAAGTGTCAGATTTGCAACGACTTCTAGGACGGATTAAATCTCCGCTTACGCGTTAATAGAGCAAAATATATCGCGCGTTAATTGTCCCAAATTGTCCAAAATGGCAATCTTAAAGCCCAAAAAACATTACAAAAAAAGATCAAAAGCAAAATATTTTTTCAACGTTTAAGCTCATGACAACAATACTTTTGGAAAAATATTTTAAAAATTCCGTCAAAATGGCTAGTTAAAAAGTCGAACTTTGTCTGAAGAAAAAAAAACCACCCAAGCACAAATATTCCGCTACTTTCGTTACGAATAAGTCGGAAAAATTACAGCAGTTACTATTTTATTATGGCTATTGGCCGTGGAGAAACGAAGTTCAAAAGATCTCGTTAGCTAAGAGCTGTCTTATAGAATCTTTTAACGAACTGGACCCCTTATAATGGAAAAATTGAATAATTAGGCCCAAACAAATTTTATACCTTGTGACGAATTGGTCCTCCTATAGAGGAAGAATTAAATTGAACAATAAAGAATATACGAATTTTGCACCTTGTATCAAATTGGCCCTCTATAAAGGAAAAATTGAACAGTTAAACGTAAACAAATTTTGTACCTTGTAACGAAATAGCTCTACTATGAAGTAAGAATTCAACAGTTGCCTATCCCAGATTAAAATTAATTGCAAGTCATTTAATTTTAAACTGTGAAAAAACGCTGGCGATACAGTTCCATACATTTTCAATGAGCAAACGAAATTGCATAAAAAACAGAATGGGCATTTTTTCCTTTATAAGAAATTTTATAAGAAGCATTTTGTATAACAAGCAAAGTTTTTTGCCATACGGTTCATCACAAAATTTGTATGAAAATAGCCAAATCATTTTTTATGCTATAAAATAACCAAGGATTCCTATCATGAAAAATCTAGATTGTGAGTAGTAGTTGCCAAGCAGATAAACTGCGTTTTGTGATATTAGCCATAAAAGGTAATGTTAACATTGTCACTCAGATTTGGATATGGCTAGAAAAATTTTACTTCAAAGTTTTTGATGATTGAAAAAAGAGGCCTGTTTTTATTTTACAAGTTTACGTTTATCTTAGCATATGAAAAATAAAAGACAAGTTGTATTTAAAAAAAACATTCGCTTCTAAATTTTTTGTTGAAAAACTCACTTTTTTGGTCTAAAATTTAATTTTGCAACTTAAATTTTTGAAAAAGTTTCGTTTGAGTTCAAAATTGATTTTGTCACAGAAATAAAGCTAACACCGTTGAAATTTGAATGTTGGCTCGCATATTTTCACAGGCAAGTTTAATTGAGTTGTATCACTAGCATTTTTGGCGCATAGAGGACAACCCGGGATAGTTTCATAGATTGGAGGCTAGAATGAAAATATTCATAAATGGACTAGTTGTGATTAAAGCATTGCGACAGCGCGGTCGAAAGCAACAGTTAATAGTATTTAGAGGAAGCGAAAGTTTACAGAATGCTACAATTGATAACAGGCGCCGCTTCGTAATAAAGCATTGGAATGTAGCGGCCACTAGCCCCTTTTCCTCTACCCCACATTCAATCTAGACGAGAGAAAAAGTGTGCTTGAATCGGCGATCGCAGCTCCTTCTTGAAAATTTTCGTGTGCACGAGAAATGGCGCGAAATGTCTCGGATTCGATGAAGCGCGACTTGCGTAACCATATATTAATATCGACAAGTTTTCGCCTCACGACATATATAATCAACTAGATGACAATTTTTTTTGTTTTCAGAAAAAACATCTGTTGGAACATATGGTCACTGTTTTCCTTAACCATTTCTGCCCAATTTATATTTAAAAACCTTTAAACCAAAAAGTCATTCAAAACTAAACAAGGATAGCCGGTTACTGTGCAAATAGTACAGAATGATCCAACCATAGTCTTAAAAAATACCTTTTTTTTCAATTTGGCGTCGTTTTTTTCCGTGTGATGAGATAAAAAGATCTGAAAGAAAACATTAAAAGTAGGCATAAACGACAGTGTTAGCCAAACAGACTAATTGGAAAACATTTTTGCAGAATAATTTTTGAAAAAAAGAAAAACATCGATAAAAAAACTAAAAAGTTTCTAAATTAAAAATGTTTCTAATTTTTTAGCAGTTTTTTTGATTTTTGAAACCTTAGATTCGCAAAATGGTGCTAGAAATTTTAACACACCTGGAAACAAATTTCATCAGCATTTTTTCTAAATAATCGGAACAATTAACGTTTGTATCGGCCAAAAAAAATTGATCGCGAACTCGATACATGATTTGGAGACTTCCTAAATCAAAGTAAAATTTGAAGCTGTTCAGAGGTATATTAGTTAAAGTATTAATCAAATTTCGAAAGAAAGTATTCATCGTTTTTTGTTCTGACATTCCTAATGAAAGTAACGAAATATTTGTGCTCGGGTGGTTTTTTTCTTCAGACAAGTTTCGACTTTTTAGCTAGCCTTTTTGACGAGATTTTTTTGACGAGACCAAAGCTATCGTCGTCTTGAGCTTAGGTTTGAAAAAATATTCTGCCTGTGATCATATTTTGTAAAGTTATGGGGTTTAAAGATTGCCATTTTTGCCAATTTCTGGACAATACCTTTTGCGCGCTACTAACGCTACTAACTATATTGCGCGCTACTAACGCGTAAGCTGAGATTTAATCCCTCACAGAAAGCGTTCCAAATTGGTTCAAGAAAGCTTATATGCCATAATTGATTTTTTACTAGAAGCAAAATCTATCACTTTGTTCTTAATATGGCGTGTGGGGGGATGTTTTCACAAAAAATCTCAATTCTTTTTAAAATTTTTTACTTTTTTATTACATTTACTTTTTTCTTGTTATCACTGCTCAATAGACCTTAAGAGGCAGTCGAAACATTCAGGGCTTCGAAACTGTTTATGATGAAAAATCATAGTTCTCATCAAAAGCAAAGCCGCAACAAGATTGCTTTTGTCAAATCAAAACCCTAATTTTTCTGTTTGCTTTCTGGTGTCGATGAAAAAGTTCTTGTTTTTTTTTCAAAATATGCATTAAAAATGGGAAAATTTTGATTTTGATTCTCAAATCTTTTTCAGTTTTATTTCTTAATTTTTCTCGAGCTATTTAAAGGACAAAGTGATTGGTTAAGCGTCTAGTAACGCATTATTAAGATCAATTTGCTTGGCTCAAATCAATCTACTATCATTCATTTTGGGCTTATGCTTTAATAGAAAGAACTATATTGCGCAATTCTTATTATCCTACTGTAAATTATTCTTGTCGAAAAAGCCTTTAAGATGGTTAAAAAGAATTTGCCAAAAAATGGCCAGTTAAAAAAATCAAAAATTGTCTGGAAAAAAAACAAAGTGAGCCCAAGCGTTTTGTCACTTTTTCGAAAGTCAGAATAAAAAAACTTGAACACGGTCCATTTTTATGTGTATAGGACATAAAATTTATGCCACTAGTTTTTTTTATTTTGAAAATCTTAAGCAAAAACAATTTTGGCAACATAAGGAGTAAGAGAAGTTTTTGGGGCGTGAGAATGATACAAAGGCGTTTCGTGATTACTAACAAAATGACAATTTTTTCCAATTGTTTGACAAAATGATTGTTTGGTCAGAAAAATGTCTGCAGACAATTAGACGCTTTATCGTATTCTCAATCCAATTAAACTGTTTCTATTAAAAGAATCTAACTAGCTCAACATTATGGTGAAAATTATCTTATTTTCTGCTTGAATTAAAAAACAATTTGGTGGCAATTCAGTTTTTGGGTATTTTTCGCGTTTACGTTCACAAATATGCTAAGATTTAATTATTTTATGCATATCACGAATTCAAAAAGCGAACATAGAAGCTAGCTCTTTTTTCGATTTTTTTATTTTACTTTTGGCTCTCAGTACATTAAAAATATAATCTCGCATTTTACAATTCAGAATTGTCTATCTTAAAATACTTGAAGAGCTTCGATGCACATCTGAATTAAATCTTGTGGTACGCAAAAAAGCTGAAGTGACTTTTACACAACCAACCTTTTTCACGACCAACTTGGTCGAATGTTTTCAAAAATGATGGTAATTGATCAATTTAAAAATGCAGAGACTTTATTAAGCATTGGCCGCATTTGGACGATGATGCCAAAAACTATCGATTATAATTGATAAGCCGAACAATATCTTCACAATCATATTTTTGAAGTTTGATGTACAAAGTATGAAGATGGTATGTTTTATCTTTTTAACAAAATAAGCAAGTCTCTTAAACTCATCGTGCTATGTACAAAAAGCCACAAAATGTTCAAAGTTTGGTTAAAAACAAACCATAAGTTAATAGTTATAACCACCCGGCTATTGACGTAATGACCAAGTCTTTCAAACCATGTGAAAAAAAAGAATCTTCGCAAAATCTGGTCCAAATTTAAAACACTGTTGTCAAGAAGAGAAACCAAAAGCAAAATCGCATCGAATAATTTGTCTCAAAATTTAAACTCGAAAAATATAAAATCTCGTGGCTTTCCAACACAACATTCTGTAAAATTTGATAAAAGTTCTGGGGAACAAAAACTGGGGAAATTTGGAGAAAGTGAGTCAAGGAAAAGAAGGAAGATGTCGCGCGAAGCGACTACCGCGAGGCAGAAAATGCTTCTGCTGGTCATGTCAATCATGGTCCTGCAAATTCCAGGTAAGAATACAGAACCTTATTTTTTCCGTTCATTTTCACTCAAATTCTATTACAGTTTAATTACAATTTTGGCAAGAACGACCCATGTGAGCAACCTCCCCCTTAAGAGGCCAAGTGAACAATCGCCCCCTAAAAGTAAAGGGTAAATTCAAGCTGTAAGACCTGCATACTATGCTCAAATCTAATTGGCTGAAAAGTACTACTTTTAACCAAGTGAATGATCCCCCCGTAATTTGATTGAGGGGCGAGATAGTTCATTCATGCGTGATAATTTCTACGACAGACTATGTTTTTTTCTTCGGAATCATCTGTTTAGGCTGTTAAACTGCTTGCAAGACTTCATTGTTCGCAATTAAATGAAGACAGTTTGGAATCAATGATGACTTTTTTTTTTTACCGAAAGCCAACATGTAATGGTTTTGAATTGAAAAAAAAAAGGAAATGCCGTTAATTACTTACCCTTTGGATATGATGCAGTTAAAAAAAACAACCAGATCGAAAAAAGATGGCGTTATGTTGTCAGACGAACATACAATTTTTGAAAAGCAATTTTTGACAGTTTTTTTTTTACATTCTGAAAAATATTGATCGCTTAAATTTAAAAGAACACTCAGGTGACCATTTTTAACAAAGTTGGAATACTGTGGTGGAATAACAAAAAAAAGACTACTGTGGGGGTTGAGGGGTGGTATTGTAAGGTTATCGACGTTGAAGGCAGTCGGAACATTTAGAGTTTCGCCCTGATACGAGCACTTTTGGTTGGTTTTAGGCGTTGATTCGACACTGTCATACACAATAACGAGCTTGGGTGAAACGTTTGTGAACGTGACACTATATTCGGACTTCGTAAACGCCGGAAACACGCCAGCGGGAACCCAGTTCTTCTTGGGAGAAACATTCTGCTCTTCGAATTTGGATCCCAGTTGCACGAACAACCCACCCGCTGAAGTGTCCAACGGGTAGGTTAACTGGGGGGTTTAAGGTTTATATATTTTTTGTTTTTAGGGAAAAATGGGCATCTTTTAAATTTTTCTCAAATTATTTTGCTTTTTTTAAAAGAAAAAAAGACATATTTTCAATTCGCTCAAATTGTTCATCAGTTTCAACCGATATTAGTTTTATCCAATCAATTTGGAGCATTTTGCTTTCTGCTTTCATATTTTGATTGTTGGAAACTCAAGCGAAATAAGAAAAAGTCCCGAAAAAAATTGAGACCATGTGTAAAATTTTCTTCTATCTATAACAAACCAAGTGGAGTGCTGTCTGTATTTAGACAAACGCGTATTCATACTCGTCAGTATTTAGACAAATACCGTATGAACCAATCAGAATCGAGAAAAGACATAAATAATCCAAAATAAATAATAATTATTTGTTAATTTCTTCCTTGTCTCGATTCTGATTGGTTAAAACAGTATTTGTCTAAAAACTGACATGTCTGAATACGCGATTGTCTAAATACAGTGCTGATTTAAATTATCCGGACAAAACGAACAAAACTTGAATTTTCAAACGCGTTTTTCTCAAATTGGGTTAAGACTAGACAAAAAGTGAAGAGAACAAAAATTGCTTAGAATATCACCAGAATTAATATGGTGCCATTTTCCTCCAAAATTCTCAACAAAAATTTTACCCCAAAAATGGGTCATTTTGGCTTTTATCAATTAATCAAGAATTACGCTGAAACTACTTTGTTAATTGATAAGAAAGTTATATCACAGGAAGCCTCTTACGCAGCTCAACAAAGTTTAAGAAGGATTAAATCTCCAAAAACCAGTAGAAGAGAAAAAAATTTCACTTGATAGTCAATAAATGTGATTTTACTCGATAAAACCCAGAATCTCTTTTTAAAAATAAATTTTAATCAATTTTCGCAAATTTTTGGAGATTTAACCTTTCATAAACTTTGTTGAGCTGCGTGAGAGGCTTCCTGTGATATAATTTTCTCATCAAAATTAATTAACAAAGTAGTTTCAGCGTAATTTTCGATTAATTGAAAAAAAATGACCCATTTTTGGGGTAAAAATTTTGTTGAGAATTTCGGAGAAAAACTGGCACCATATTAATTCTGGTGAAATTCTAAGAAACTTTTTTTCTCTTCACTTTTTGTCTAATCTTATCCCCATTTGAGAAAAACGAGTTTAAAAATTCAAGTTTTGTTCGTTTTGTCCGGATAATTTAACTCAGCACTGTATTGCTGCGTAACTAAACCAAGTGCACAAATTAAAAACCACATTTAAAAACAACTGAATGGCAATTTTATGCAGCAAGCCAACATGAAAATTGCTGTATTCTGATTGGCAGAAAAAGAATGCCTTTAACGACGTGACTATTTCCTATTTCCTTCCTAAACTTGTCGTTTCTCGGTCTAGTAGTTAAACTGAGTCCGTTCATAAAGTAGACAACCTAATTAATAAATAATTAATAATTACTTATTACTTAAATTTTCTTCCTGTTCTCGATTAAACATCAATTTAACACCTAGTTAAACATCAATTTACCAACGTAAAAATTTGTCTGAGGTGAAATTTGGTAAGTATTCAATTTGGTAAGTATTCAAAGAAGTCAGGAATTTTTGTTACCAAATTTTTTAAAGTCAGTTATTTTTTGTTATCGCTTTAGTACCAAAAGTTTTTAGTTGGCGCAAGACTAGTATTCCGAGTAGTTTGCATTTTTCGTTTAAGGTAGGTGGTAAGCGCGCTATGCGCGCGTTTCCGCGCGGCGACAGCCGGCTCTATTTTTGGTAGAAAGTCCCACATTCTGTAGCAACACGTTGGTGCAGTTAAGGCGGTCACTGTGCTGCCATTCAGTTGTCTGCTATTTGAACAGTTGAAATATGATAATTAATTGGCTCTAATTTCGACCAAACAGAAAATGAGATAAATAATTTTGGTACAAATGGGATCAATTTTTCATGATGATACAAATGAACAATTGTGAATTTAGTGCGTATTCATTGGTCCCAAAATGAAAAATTAGTCCCATAGGTCCCAAAATGAAAAAGTAGTAGCATAATTCCCAAATTTTTTCAATTGGTCAGAAGACTAAATTAGCCGAGTCTCGGCTTAAGGTCGCCGGTGGGCGCGCTACGCAAGCGTCGCCGCTTCGCGGCAATAACCGGCTCCAAATTTCGTATAGAGTCCTACCCTTTGGTGGCAAGCTGGCAACACATTGGCGCGGCTGCGGCGGTCACTGTTCTGCAGCTTGAGTTTATGCTGGTTGAACAGTAAAGATTCAATCCACAAATTTCGTTGGCTCAAATTTCAACCAATCAGAATTCCAGAAAATAAGTTTTGGGACTTATGCGACTGATTTTTTATTTTGGGAGCTATGAATATTGGGACTATGGGAATTCACCGGGAAGTGAATGCTGTGTGAGGCATGTTTCCAAATTGAATTCTATGGCTCGTTCGTTAAGTTTTTGTGGTGCGTTATATTATTTTCAAAAACTATCATTTTGATCAGAAACACTAGTTGGAAACATAATACACCCAAAACATAAACCCTCTCGTTTCTGATCTATTTTCAAAACTTAGCAAGACAGCTCGTACCAATGCAAAGCTTTGAACTATCAGATTAAACTTTAACGTCTGTAGAGTTGTTTTTCCAAAAAATACAATGAAACTCTGACTTGTTTTTGAAAGTCTTCCGCTGTAGCTAAAGTTCTGCTTATGCGTGTATTCATAGAATAAAATATTTTTTTTATCTAGTAATAGATCAGTTAGACCAAATAGCTAGCGTCAATTGCATTTAGAAAGATTTCGCTGGCGTTTTTAAACAAAATACATTGCGCGTTTATTTTTCCAACAGGCCAAATTAACAAATACCAAGCCACCCTGATAATTTACAAAAGAAAGATCACAGGTAAAAAAAATTATTGTCATTTGATCTCCAGTAATGATGTCTTTGAAATGGTAAAAAAACGTTTTATCACAAAATGCTAGTTGAAATGTCGACTGTATTTGTTGCAACCAAACCGATCGCAAAGATGTCGTCACTTTAAAGTCGTATAAAACAAATGAGCGTTGAACTTACATTTTTACCCTTGTTCATTTATAACAAAACAAAATTTTTGCCTCAAAATTTTTCCTATGTCATTCTAGTTGGTCGAAAGTCAAAATTTTCAATATTGGTATTTAGAAGAAATTGAACCAGATAAGATGAAAACTTCATATCTTAACTATACAGTTTGTTAACAAAAAAAACAGCCAATGATATTTGTCTTGAAGCATCTCTTTAATTATATCCACCCCTCTTGCAAAGGGGGAGGAGATTCGTTCCTAGGTATCAAATTATCATATGCTTAACCGATGGTTTATTTCTTTATAGGGGAGACAGGGGCGGATCTAGGATTTTCTCAGGGGAGGGCGGATTTTTAAAAAATTTTGACGACCTTTTTTTGGCAAATTTTTGAAAAAAAACAGGTCAAAAAACAGGTTTTTGGGCATTTTTTGGAAAATTTGTACTAATTAAATCGCGTTTTTTTGGCAAGTGCTCCCCTTCAAAGTTAGTATATATTGGCGCCAAAGGCGCTTTTAGAAAAATTTTAGGGCCAGTCAGCCAAAAATGGATTTCTTAAAAAGTACCAAAGGGGGGATCCTATGGGTCGGCAAGCGGTCGAATCCCCCTTGCTGACCCAAAAAGGTGTCCGCCAACCCCTCCCCCTCCCTAAATCCGTTACTAGGTACCTGAGGGAGTTTATACTTAAAGAGAACCATTTGGGAGTAGATTGGAACGTTTCTTGTTCGTTTCAGCTCTGCCTACCCGCCTGAGTTCTTCGATTCCAACATGCTTCCGGGAATGCCGTACAACTTCCAAGTGCAGGGCATCTACACGAATTTCAGCTCCAATGACATCTCACAAGTGACTGTAATCGTCTGCACCAGTGAGTTCCTCATCAATCCCATTATACAACATAACTCGCAGTGCCATGTGAATTCACACAACCACGTATTCATACTCGTCAGTTAGCAGGCAAACACTATTTTCACCAATCAGAATCGAGATGAGAAAGCAAACTTACAAAATACCAATTTTAAGGGGGGAGCGCGCGCCAAAAAACAAAATTAAGAACGCCTTTTTTGGCTTGATTTTTCAAAGTTGTGTCTGCGGCGCAGAAAATTTCGTCAAAAAGGGATCTTTTTGGTGATTTGGGAGTGCTCGGAAAATCAATTTGGTCGACTTAAAAAAATGATCGACAAAATTTTTGATTAGCCTCTGCCTCAACATACAACTTTTTGTTGCTTTGCCGACCAAAAACTCGCAAAATTGGTAGCTATTTTTGTTTATTTAGAAAACCCATTTTAGAAATAAACCATTGCAGCTGACCTCACGAATGATATGGCCTTGTTATGATAACTCACATATCCCAATACAATTTTTTTTACAATTTGATGAAAGACTGATTGAATAAAATCCACAATGAGATGCAGTTATTTTACATGTACAGAAAGTTCTGACAATGATTTTTTCAGAAAAACCTTTCTTTAGTACAAAAAAAAATAGTTTTTTTTTCATCGTTTTAACTTTTTTCTGATTTTTATTAACTTTGTAGAATAAACCAGTCAGTTGTTTCTAGCCGATTTTATTTTTAACGTTAATCAACAAGCTAAGTAGAAACGCAAGCAAAAACAGACCAAAATTGATTCCAATTAGCTCCAACTCTAAGATAATTTAGAGAGGGAGGGTTACGAAATCAGATAACCTCCTTCAAAAAGAACTAAAATAGTTAATTTTATAAATATCACAAGGCGGACAGGAGAGATGACTTCACTAGGGCAAGCAAAAGTGTTCAGGGGAGCTTGAATTTGGAATACTATGCCCCTTGGTCTTGTACTTTTGTTTTCAAGACCTATAAAAATTGGCCGACCTCCGACTTCCGGCGACCATTTTTCGGAACATGATTACACTTTTGGAAAATATTATTTGTGCCCGAATTAGGCATTTTACTCAGAATTATAAGCAGAGGCAAACTGATTTCATAGCGGCTTAGGATACGAGACGCAATCCATGGAAAAAACCATCTGAGAAAAATATACCAAATGAATTTTTCCAGTGCTAAAATCTATATTTCGGGAAAAATGACAATGGGATAACGGACCTGCTAAACTAGGATAAACCGAGAATTGTTACTTGAAAATTGGAGATACTTTGTTGTTTGGACCCCCTCTACTGCATGTCAAAACATTGATCCCTTGTGGCCACGGGGTGACATTTAGGCCCTGAAAATTTCTCGTTTTTAGAGGGTTTAGTCTCAAAATTTTTTATTATGTACCTAGTTAAACGTTGGAACTTGACCTCATCTGTCCATTAATTACTGGGTAGATTGAGTAGCTTAATGAGACCAGAAATGGGATATCTGCTTTCACAGTAACCAGTTGCTATTCGCTTTCACCTTAACGACTTCCGATTTGCTCAAGTGTTTGTGCCGAAACGCAAAAGCAAAAACAAATGGAAGACATTGACCTATAAATCGTGTTTTCCCACTGTTTTAAAAATTTAGAAACTTGTAAATCATCCCATCAAAAGTTTCTGCAGTTGAAAATACCTAAGTCCTTCCAAATCTGCCCCTATCATGGCCATACGCCAATATGAGTAGAAAAAGATTGGAATAAAGAGGTGTCCAAACTTGATTTTTAAGCAGCACAAGCTATTTTCGGACAGGTTACAAATGCTTTTGTTGGCTCTTCTATCGTTAAAAAGCTATAAACATCATTTTTACATTGTAATCTATCAATCTTGGAACAACGTTTTTTTTGAGATCGAGAAATAAACCGACCTGCCAATTTGCATCACATCTGGTCCTTGTAAACAAAAATTTCCCACTTGATTGAACTAATTTAACAACTCAGATGCGAAAAGTGGTCAGCCTAAAACAGATTCAGAAATTGCTTCTGTAGAATCGCCCCATTTTTTTGTTTAAATGGGCCAGATGTGGTGCAAATTGGCATATCGGCTTATTTCTTGACCACAAAAAATTTGGAAGAAAATTAATAGATACACCGTTAAAGTGATGTTTATAGCTTATTAATGATAGAAGAGCCAACAACGGTATTTGTAATTTAAGGTAAAAATTACCTGAGTTGCTAAAATATGGAATCCGCACCCCCCGCTTTAATCCTATAATTCTCTACTAATATTAGCGTATGATCAAGGCAGGGGTAGATTTAGACTTGAAGGACTTGGGTATTATTTAACTGCAGACTGTTTTGGTGGGATGTACGATTTGTAGGTTAGTCTTCCATTTTTAATTGACCTTTTTTTTAATCTGAGTTTTTTTGTGAAAATCATCCCTCCACACGCCATATAAAGTACAAAATGATAAATTTCGCTCCTAGTAATAAATCAATTATGGCAAAAAAGCTTCCTCCAACCAATTTGGAAGAATTTCTAAGGCGGATTAAATTTCCGCTAACTCAGACAGAACTGAAAATGAGCTAAGAAACAGTCGCGTTGTTCTTTTTACGTTTGCTGCATAAAATCTTCGTTTAAAATACGTTCGCTTTCAACAATTCAATATGGCCTTACTGCAAAAACTTTCTTTGACGGATTTGAATAATGGAGACTCTGTTAGATTACTTCTTGAGCAATTAATAAAACAGATCGATTCCCAACAGAATGAAATTATAGAATTACGGGGTGAGAATGACAGGCTTCTTTACGACAATCATGAGTTGGAAAAAAGAGTTACGAAAGTGGAAAGGTATTCCTCATTTATGTGTTTAACATTTCATGGTGTGTCGGATGGTGGTGAGTACCCTGTCCATTCAATTGTGAAGATACTAAGGTCAGTAAATATTTCAATTCAGCCCCAGGACATCGTCGCGTGTCATTATTTACCAGGTAAAGGTCGAAATCGTCCGATTATTGTCAAGTTTTTGTATAATCACCAGCGAGATGCTGTATGGAATAAGAGATTCGATTTTTGGGATGATTTAACTGGAAATAAAATTCATGTAAACGAACTATTGGCAGAAAAAGATAGGGAAATTATGAACTACTGCAGACGGGACAAAAATCTACTAGCATCTACTCATAAGAATCAAGTCCAGATTAAAAAGTACAATTCATATGGCAGATGGCAACCAATTGATAACAAGAAGGATGTCGATATTTATATGGGAAATGATATCTCAGTAACTACTGACAATGAAAAATATACGGATGTTATTCAAAATGCTGCTGATTCCGACGATGTTCAATATCCAAAATCTTATTCTTTTTTGGGAACTCCGGGGAAAAGGAAAAGGAACGTGGCTTTTAGATCACCGGATAGTCATGAATCGCAAAATGATATACAAGAGCGGAAACTTGATAAACTATGCTGTTTGGTGGAAAAACTCATTGAAAGCCATTCTCCACCTCCTAAGAAAATGACTACCAGTGGTGATGTTGTTAGCGATGATAATATGGGCAGCAGCGAAGAAAAAGATCAACCTGAAAATTAAAAAGAGTTTCTGAACATCAGAAAAATATCTCTTTTTTTCCTGTGTTAAAGCTTTATTTTTGATTTTAAAGGGATTTCTAATGGGTAACGACGGGGACATACTTTTCTTAAATATTCAATCACTGCGCAACCATCATGACCAATTAAAAATTCTTGTTGCTTCACTAAAATGGCAACCATATGTCGTTGCCTTATGCGAAACTTGGTTAAGTGACAATGATCCCTTGGAACTTTATAACTTGGACGGCTACCAAGAAGGAGTTTTTGTTAACCGTCAAAAAAGTAGGGGTGGGGGTTTAGCATTTTTCATAAAAAATCAAATTGACTTTTCGCACGAAATTTTATCGAATGAACTAGAAAATGTTGTCTTAACTTTAACTCTAGGAAGTAAACAGAAACTAAACGTTTGTTTGATGTATCGACCGCCATCAATCAATTCAAAGCATTTCTTAACGCAATTTGAGGATTTACTCGTGAATTTGAATTCAAAACAATGTCAGAACTCAATCATTGTGGGAGATATGAATTTAGATATTCTGGACGTGTCGCGCAATTCTCGATTAATTGATGAATATAAATTGATACTTAGTTTTTTTGGATTCTTCATATCAAATAGTGAAGCAACAAGAGAAACCGCATCTAGTTCTACCTGTATTGATCATATCATCAGTAAATATGATATGAGCGTAACTACTTTAAAAACTTCTCTAAGTGATCATTATGCGCTAGTTGCCTCTATTGGACCTTTTTTGGATGATAGTGACAATTTTAAGATAGGTCGAAACTTGAAAATCTTGAACAGAAATGAAAATATTTTGAAATTCTTGTTTGTTTTGCATCAAAATCTCAATAATTGCAATATGGCAACAATTGATGACATGTTGACCGATTTAACAAAAATGTGTCTGGATGTTTTTGACCGTTTTTGCCCCCAACAAACATTACTAAGGAAAAAACACAAAGACTGGATCACCAATGATATCAAAAAAATGTGTAAAAAGAGAGATCGTCTTCATGCCAAAATGATTAAGAAACCTTCACTAGAGAAAATTAATTGCTTCCGAATGTTTAGAAATAAGGTAAAAATGGCAATTAGGCGTGCTCAAAGAGACTATCATGATAAGAAAATTGAAAAATGTACATCATCAAAACAAATGTTTCAAGCTTTTAATCGTTTTTGTGGAAAACGAAAACCAGCCCAAAAAGAGATTGAACCCAACTTACTTAATGATTTCTTCGTCAATATTGGTAAGCACCTGAGCAATTCTCTGCCACTTGTTGGTTCTGCTTCTCAAAACTTAGACAGAAACATATCAAGTTTTGTAATTTTTAAAACGGATGAACATGAAGTGTTTAAGGTAATAGGGGCCTTAAAAACTAAAACTTCAAGTGGTCATGATGGTCTTTCAACTAAAATGATTAAATTATGTTCACCAGTCATATCTGTTTTCCTGGCAAACGTTTTTAATAAATGTATTGATACAGCATATTTTCCAGATACTTGTAAAATTGCAAAAATTGTCGCTTTTCTGAAAGAAGGAGAAAAAGAAAATCCCAGTAATTATCGACCTATTAGTCTTTTGACAGTTTTTAGCAAAATTTTTGAAAAAATAATTTATAAAAGAATGCTAGTTTTCATTAACAAAAACAATATTATAATACCGGAACAGTTTGGTTTCCGCGAAAAACATTCTTGTATCCATGCTGTCCTACGAGTTACTGAATTCATGCGAAAAACGATTGAGACAAAAAATATGGGCTTGGCACTTTTTATTGATCTGAGAAAAGCATTTGATACAGTTAACCATTGCATTCTTCTGGAAAAATTATGCGCGTACGGTTTTAGAGGAAAATTCAACAAATTGATATTAAGTTATTTGACAAACAGACAACAATTTGTTGTTAATTCGAACGGTACTTCTAGGCAACAGGTAATATCGTACGGAGTTCCGCAGGGCTCTGTTCTTGGACCCCTTTTTTTCTTACTTTACATTAACGACATAAATAAAATTGTTTCAAAATCGGAATTAAGTCTTTTTGCGGACGACACTGCTATTCTTGCTTCTTTCCCAACAACAAGGGTAAATGATTACTTTAAAAATGATTTGCTGAAAACAGATGACTGGTGTGTGCGAAATAAATTGTCGATAAGCTCTACAAAATGTAAAATCTTACCATTTGGTAAACAATGTTTGGATAATGACTTTTCACTTGCGGGTGAAAACATAGGATTTACAAATTGTTTCAAATACTTGGGTGTTATCATTGATAGTCAACTCAAATTTACAGACCATGTTGAAACTGTGTGCAGAAAACTAGGCCGATTTAACGGAATTATGTATAAGGGCAGGGTAGCTTTTTCTCGCAAAATGCTGTTAAAGTTCTACCTGGCATATGTGGTACCTATAATTTCATATGGTCTGCTTGTTTATGGGAGTACTAGCAAAACAAATTTAGAAAAAATTTATATCTGCCAGAAAAGAATTCTCCGTACTATATTCTTCAAACGCAAATACGATCACATAACAACAAAGTTTAATGATCTGGGCATTGATACAGTTCATGAAATTTATTTAACGCAACTTTTTAAAGAAACCATTTTTCAATATTTAAAACGTTCACCTCTTGATTTTCTAAACGTCAGTAATTATAGTAATAAACGAAATACACGTTCTACTTCTAACGGAATGATTCCGTTTTATCGCTGTAGGACAAAAACTATGGAAAACTCCCTTTCATGCAAAATCGTTAAATGTTTCAATTTTTTGATGTCAAATAAACTCCTACCCGATAAAATCGAAACGTACTCTCAAGAACAGCTGTCAAAATTTTTAAAGGTTTTCAAAAGAAATTACATTTTAGACAATGTACAGCTGGTCGACAACTTTTTCTGATTTGTTTACCCGTTGTCGTTACTTAATTGTGATAGTTATCCCGGAGGGTAGCTACTTGTTAGGTTGAAAAGCCTGTTCTAGCTATCCTGATGCAGTGAGTGATTAAGTATGTATTTCTTCACTGTATCGAATAATTGAATTGAATTGAATTGAACTCGTTAATAGCGCAAAATATATCGCGTTAATTGTCCCAATTTGGCCAAAATGGCAATTTTTAAAATCCATAACCTTACAAAAATGATCACAGATGAAATATCTTTTCAAAATTAAACTCAGGACAACACCTTGAAAACCTTTTGAATGATAATATAAAAATCCGTCAAAAATTGCTAGTTAAGAAGTCGAAATTTGCCGAGCACAAATATTCCGTTACTTTCGTTACGAAAGTCGGAACAACTAGTAACGGTTTAAGATTGATTTAAAAGCCATCGAGGTCTTGCGAGAACTCGGAAAATCAAATTGATCAATCCAAAAAATAGTTTGCTGAAAATGAGCTCCCTTCTCTATCGTGCAAGGGCTAGTTGCGAATTTAATTAGAAACAAGTCGCAAGACCTGACAATACGATTGTTTATTTTGTTGCAGAATCAAGTGAGAATTTACAATAATGAGTCAAGTTTTCAAACATTTTCCTCAGTTTAATCCTGACTTTTTAGAGTCTGTGGCCCCGGACTTGAGTGGCAATGACTACACTTCGGATGATTCGACTGTAACAATTAATGGGTTCGTGACTTCTGTCACCGTGGCGGTAAGCACTCAAATTTAGAAATTAGCCTATATGAGACAAATGCTTGCAAACTATTTCAATTGCAAAATGTAAGTATATTTGAATCTTATGCAGTGGCAGGTTTGAAGAGTTAAATTTTTGAAAAGTAGCATATTATCATTTTGGCTTGGTTTTCAAAAATGGTTTTCCTGCTGTGTTGGCCATTATGGTTAAACATTGTCCCTTCAGAGCACTTGGACATTCCATTTGGTCGACTTGGAAAATTTCACAAATTTTTCGTTTTTTTTTCAATTCTCCCCGACTCTCGAGAAAAACCTAGATCAGTGCCTGATATTATGCATAAAAGTTTCGGTTTTCTTCAATTTGATCTTAAAAAACTGAAGCCGCCATATGCGAAATCAACTGTTTGATATTAATTGCTTAGATTTTGTACCAACATCACAAGGAGAATGTTTTGGATTAAAAATAGTTCTCGAACATTTGTATCCCTTTTCTAATTGTTCCGACTTTCGTAACGAAAGCAACGAAAAATTTGTGCTCGGGTGGGTTTTTTTTTCTTCAGACAAATTTCGACTTCTTAACTAGCCATTTTTGACACAATTTGTTTTATATGGCGTGTGGTGGGATGGTTTTTTCACAAAAAAATCTCAAATTTTTTTGTTTTTTTCTTTTAATTTAATTAATTTTATTTTTTTCTTGTTATAACGGCTCCATAGACCTTAAAAAGCAGTCGGAACATTCAGGGCTTCGCCCTGATACAAGCAGTTTTGTTTCCTTTTTTATGCACTAAAATCCAAACTCATAACCTTTTTTGTTTGCCCAATTTGTCTTGGACTTTTTATCTGAGCAACTTGTTTTTTTTTAAATGTTTTACAGAGACGATAGATTATAAAAAAATGAAAAAAAGTTGGCAAAATTATATATTTCAAATCAGTTTTCATTCTTCTTCGATTAAGCATTGTACATTGAGCACAATAATTTTAATGGTGATTTTGGCAGAGTTATATTTTATTTACCGATGGAATATTTCAGCTTACCCGAAATCCATAATCTTCACGAATGAAAATTACTTATCGTACCAATAGATTTAATGATTGTACAGCAAAAACCAAATTTTCAAATTTCTGGTGATTTTTTGCCTAAGAATCAATTCTATGCTCGAAAAATACATTTTCCGAAAAAAAAACTTTGTCTATAACGTTGTCAAAGCTGATATTTATGTAAAATTGAATCAAACGTCATTATAAATTTTTGTGTGAGTCTAAATAAAATATTTTCATGTTTTCATACCGGAAGATAAGTTTTTTCTGTCCAAAATTAGGCCACAATTTTCAGCAACCCAGTTTTGTGAGTAAAATTTATACAAAAGCCGTATACAAAAGGTTACTGTTTCTAGTTATCACTCTGAGTGAATTTAATAAATCCACGCTCCTGGCGAATCTTCAATTGCAGTGCACCCTTGCGGTTTTTGCGACTTAACCTGTTTGTCTCACGAAAAAGAAAACCTTGGCTCAATTGGTTTCGGCAAAAAACATAAATTGAAGCAAAATGCCAAATTGTTTATGGAAAAATTGATGTGAAAAAAAGGTTATCATGCAATTTCCATTTATGAGAAAATGCTTATACTAGATATACTAAATATTTTTTGCATTTTTTGTACGCAAGGAGTTTGTCAAAATTGTATGGTGAGAGTTTTTTCATCCAAACAAACAACATTTCTGATAAGCCATGAAAGGATTTCTATGAAACTTTTCGATTTGATCAGAAGAACCAAAATGACATGACAGCAAAATATTATCAATTTATGATTTCAGATAGAAGTTTGGTGGGTCAACATTTCGTTTAAAAAAAAATCGAAAACAATCAGTTCAAAGAGATTTTTTGTATGAACTTAATCAGTTATAAATGATAACAAGGATAACCGGTTACTGTGCAATTAGCACAGAATGTTTCAAACGCAGTCAAAAAAAGTTTTTTTTTCAAATTAAAGTCATTTTTCCTGTGTTTTGTGGCAAAAAATCTGAAAGAAAAAAAAACTGCGACAGTCATAGCTAAATAGGCTAATCAGAAAACAGAGTTTTTCTACAAACTTGGCTAGAAAAGCAAAAAATATATATAAAGAATTTTACAAAAAAAATGACGCTAAAATACTCCAAAATGTAATTTATTCCAGTAACACTAAGTATTCACGGCTGAGTTGAAGCTTAAACAAGCTAGTGTAAGCCTGCATGTTCAATTTATTAACTCAAAATTAGACCGAAAATCAAAAATTTTAAACCGGTAATTCTCGACACTGAGGAAACTTTTTATCAGATTAACGACTGAAAGGGCTTCAAAATCATATAACACTCGACACATTCCGATAATTTTTTGTGGTAACTTATTTTATTTTGCGTGAAAACTAAAAAGAAACTAAAGCTCACCCGAATACAAAGTTCCTCCCCATTTTCAAAAGTCGGAACAATAGAGGAATATAATCTTTAGAAGATTTGACGAATAAAATTAATTAAAAATATGTTAAGCACTTTTTTGGTAATTATAGTCATTTATATTACTCACGAAATCAGCATTAAAATCATTTATAATCGCTTTGTTAAGCCAATATTGTAATTCGGGTCGCTCTTTTATGCTAAGAGCTTGATAACTTCAAACGCAGCTTTAGCAATTAGGGACTACTTGCTCCGCTGCTTTTACCTTCGGCGCCAGCGGTTTAGCACGCGTAAAGCAGTGTTTAATGCTACAAATCCTGAGATAGTTCCCTAATTGAGGAAACTAGACCAAAGACTTAGGTTTTTTTCACGTCTGTCAATCAATTATGCGTCAGTTGTATTAAGTTCCTCTGCTAAAAGACTCCATTTTTATTTTTCAAGCGAAGAGATTGGTCTCAAAAAAACTTGCCAAATATCAGTTGGTATTTTTCGGTTGATTATGGAGTAACACTTAATAAAAAATAACTAAATTGTACTGCCTTTTTAAGGTTTTATGAGAAATTCTCTCATAAATTTATCTCAAACACCGTGAAATACTGTTTTGAAACATTCAACGCTTTACCCTGCTGCGGTGCAGTATGGCATAAAGTTTCAGTGGGGCCTAGGAAGTTAGATGAAAAGCTATTTAAACGTTACCAATAAAAACGAATTTAGACGTCAATGCAAAATTACAAATATGGGAAACTAGACGTAATTGTATTGTTCGTGTCTGAAATTTGTTTACTTTCGTTCGAGTTTTCCTAAATGCAAATCAATTTTTCACATGCCGCATTTTTCAGATTCCGCATTTTTAACATGCCGCAATTGTCTAATTATGCATTTCAAAAATTTTTTGTAATCTTGAGATTAACCATTTATAAATCAATTGTGATAAATATTTTAATACGCAATAGGATCATATACTACTTCTGTAATTATGAAAACTTGTTTTAAGCAAAAAGTTTTTTTTAGCCATTTGCCTTCCGTCTAAAATGCTTGATTTCCAAAAACAATTTAACGTCTAAATTCGTTTTTGTTGGTTACATCTAATTTGCTTATTTTCTAACTTACTAACCCCCAGTTTCAGTTTAAAACGGTATAAAATGAATTTAATCCTGCTTTAGCTTGGTTTTGTTGACGATAAGTTTTAATCAGCCCATTTATTAGCCTTATTTCTTCATGACACTAAGGTCTTTTCTCTTTTATCGTCTAAAGCATTTCGAAAAACCTGTCTAAAAATTGTTTGCAGCTTCCGTGGCCTAGCTATCAATAATTGCTGATTTTTGACAGACTTGGGAACAAATTTGTATAAAAGCTACAAAATGGGGGGCTTAGGGCTCTTAAACCTCCCCCCTCCCCCTCCCGTCATATAAGCATCAATTTTATGGTGTAACGAGGGGATTTACAAGGTTAAACATGAAGAACAATTATGTTTGTCATGGCCCGATTAGTCCGCATGCCAATTTTTGTAACATTCGGATAACATGAAGAAAATTTCACTAATAAAGTTTTGCAGGTGGGGGGGGGGGGGGGTAAGAGCCGGGCTTAGTTCTAAATCAGCTGTTGGTTCCATATACAGATCTGTAGACAATTCAGTATCGCTTTCGCTCTGTCAATTAAGTTGTTTGTTTGTCGTTTTAGAGTGGAGGTATAACTCACTACGGAATAGACAACAGCACTCTCAATCCCACGAAAGCACCGTACGACGGCGACTTGACAATAATTAGTCTTGATCCCTTTACGGCGTATAATTTTGCCGTTCATGCCTACAACGATCACTGTGGAACTATGGTCCGCTCCGATGCCACCTACAATTTTACCGCCTGCACAGGTGAGTTACCAATGGAAGAAGCCCATACAAGACCATAATCCATGACAAATCATTCATCCCCTCAGCGAAAATCATGGATAAATTAGCCATGTTAAAGCCCTGAATCAGCGCTAGTTTCAGCGCTAGATATATTTCAGCGCTAGATACCCTGAATCAGTGCTAGATATATTTTCAAGTTTTTTTGTTACGTGTCTTGTTTTCGTTAAAATTAATCTTTTAGACAAAAATTGACCAAAAATGCTGAAATTCGTAAAAAAATCAAGCCATTTTTTTCGTTTTCGATTCGCATGTATAAAAATAGAATCTATAGACGTAGAGTTTTTGAATGATATCATTGAATATAATCTTTCTGGGACAAAAAATTATGTGGTCCAAAATAAATCCGGAATCGTTGGCCTTAATGGTTCTCGATTATACGTCTTCGATTTGTTTAATTCTCTAACTAGATATATAGTTTGGAAACAATTTATTATTTTTATTATAAAAAAAACTGAGAAACATTTAAAAAAAATTAAATTTTTTCAACTATAGCAAAATAGTTCCTGCAAAACATAAAATGATTTTTAAATTTTTCTATCATAGCAAAATAGTTCCTGCAAAACAAATAATTTTAAAATTTTTTCTGCCATAGCAAAGTAGGGGTGCCAGACATCAAACCGACGGGACTTGAAGCCGAATTGTGAAATTAGGGACTTCAAGCCGAATTTTTTCTCATTAAGTCATGAAATATGATTAATTTGAAAACTTTTTTTAAAAGAATTTCTCAATTTCATGATCTCCAGTAGTTATTGGCGTTATCATAAAATTTAAACCTCCAACTGATGTTTAGTAAAGTAAAATAAAACACGGTTGAAGGTGTTTTTCATGTTTATAATTTATGCATTTCAAGAGCCGGCTGATGTTATTAACGGTTGCCAATCAGAAGTGGTGCGTTGTCATGAATAACGCTTTTTATGGACTAAACGTGCCTGAATTTTTGAAAAGCAGCATTTTACAGATCAAAAAATAGTGTTTTGATGTGCTTTGTAAAGTTCAAATTTCGGCCTGAAATCTCTTCGGCTTGAAGTCCTGTCGGCTTGTTGTCCTAGACCCCAAGTTAGTTCCTGCAAAACATGAAATAATTTTAAAACTTTTTCTACCATCCCGGGTTGACCTCCATACACCGAAAATGCTTATCATACAATTCCATACATCATGTTTGTGGAAAATGCTTGTCATACAATTTTCATACAATTTCTAAAAATGGTTGAAAAAAGATATGAACTTATTTCTGTGGCTGTTTGATTCTAATAAAACAGTCTGGTGATAAAAAACCGAAGTTTTCCTTTTTTGAAAAAAATGCTTATCATACAATTCCCATAAATGGAAATTGTATTACTGGCATTTTTTTGATGGCGACACAAAAAATTTTTCAAGTAAATTTGAAAATCTGGCCCAAAAATTTTTTTGTTTTTTTTTTAACCGCAAATCGAATTTCATACGCAAACAAACATTTTTCGAAAAAAAATTTTTGCATGCAAAATTTAATTTTTTGTGTGCATAACGTAGTCCTGGATACGATAACTATGGCTTTTATTTTCTTTTCACCTAAATTTTTTTTTCAAAAACGCTGAAAATTCCTATTTCTTTTGTATTGGGTGTTTATGTATGCCTTGATCAATGTCTGATAATTTGAAAACTCAAAAATTTAAAATAATCATCATTGAAAAATTTTGCCAAAAAACAAAAGTTTGTTACTTTTGTTATATCAATTGTGAAAGACAGCCCAATTCAGGTCGTTTTCATTGTAAATGCAAGACCGTCCAACCTTTGGTGCTTTGAGTAACCAAGGTCTTTGTCACTAGTGTTCGGTTGCAAACACTACCGAAAATTTTTCAGAAACTAAATTTAGAAAGAAAAAAATAAAAAAATTTTTGGTTTTTGGGAAAACGCCTATCACACAATTTTCATATATGGAAAAATGCTTATCATAGAGTTTTCATACAATTTTCTGTACGTATGGAATTGTATGAAATTGTATGACAAGAAGTTTCTCATATATGGAAATTGTATGATAAGAAGTTTTGGTCAACCCGGGATAGCAAAATAGTTCCTGCAAAACATCAACAGTTTTTAAATTTATTCTACCATAGCAAAATAATTCTTGCAAAACATAAAAGGATTTTAAAATTTTTTCTATCATATATCAAAATAGTTCTTGCAAAACATAAAATGATTTAAAACTTTTTTCAACTATAGCAAAATAGTTCCTAGAAAACATAAAAAGATTTTTATATTTTTTCTATCTTAAATCAATATATAATGCTTAAAATCCAGCAGTGCTATATTTTTAATGTTGATTTTAATTTCATGTCCTGAGCTCGAAATGGATCGTGAAGTTTCTCAACTTCAGCCAGTCGGAATGATTAATGAATTCTGTTTTCCTGTTTTTAATTAAATCAGAGTGTATGCAATGATTTATTCAGGCTGAGAAATCATTCCAGTTTGACTAGAAGCGTTTTGGTCCTATTTTTGCGTTTTGAATGAGATATAACACTTTATACTTACATAAAAATGATCAGATTTGTTTCTAAACTGATTTTCCGATCTCTCCGAAACACTAAAAAGACCCCTTTTATCCAAAATTTTCTGTGGCGCATTCAAATTAAGTTAAAAACAAGCCAAAAAGCCTTTTTGGAAACATTCTTAAAAATGTTGACCAAAACATTGCGTTTTTTGGCGCGCGCTCTTTTGAAATTACTAAATATTGACACTGAACTCGCCTATAAAAGCTTGTCAATTTTGGTCGCCGCAAATTGGATGTTTAAATATAGAACCAATAGCGCTGAAAAACGCCAAAGGCTCTGAAAAAAGTATCGAATTTCTGCGAAGCGATCGAGCATCCCTAAATCGGCTGCTGAATGGTTGTTTTTTGTCCATAACGCATTAATAAGCTCAAATAGCTTCAATTCGAAAAATAAATTTATTCAACCCAAAAAAAGTTGACTAAATTTTCAACAAGTTTTACAAATAACACTCAATCTTTTCGAAATAATCTCAAAAGGCCCCAAAAACGCAAATGCTACTCAAACAATTTTCTGCTGCGCAAAAAATGGCATTCCAGGCTTCGGCGAAACTCCAAAACTAAATACGGTTGACCTAAAAATACTCGACTACCAATTTTTCCAAGGTCCCCATCGCCTAAAATTGAAAAAATACAGCGATGGTTATCAATCCGGGTGAAGGGAGGGCGGGGGTGGACGCCTTTTTGCTCAGATATTCGATCCCCTCGCCAACCAAAAGGTCCCCCTTTGGTATTATTTTATGATAAAAATTTTAAGCCAACCAACCCGAAATTTTTTTCTAAAGGCGCCTTTGGTGCCCATATATAACAATCTGGAATAGGAGTACGCGCCGAACAACGCATAAAAAAACGAAAAAATTGTTGATCAAAGTTTTCCAAAAAGCCAAAAAGGGCTCAAAACGGCATCTTTGACCTGTTGCTTTTTAAATTTTGCGTGCGGACCAAAATTTTTGGTCAAAATAGGGTCTTTATAGTGTTTCGGGAGCGTTCGGAAAGCTAATTTAGTCAACCCGAAAAATTATTTCCACCCCCCCCCTCTCGAGAAAATCCTAGATCCGCGCCCATGTCGGACACATGCTTGTGTTGACAAGTTTGTGTAACCAGATATGATATAACCATGCTGATTTATATGTTTAACCTGATATGACAAAATACTATGGGATTGTAAGTTTTCGCCTATATGCTTCAGCTATGTCTCGGCTAACTCTTACTGTGGCAGCTCGTGACACTTCCGGCATTACTATCACCAACGATGCGCTCTGGGATAATTTGCGAATCCTTGAGGTCGATGGCAGCACTTCAACGGGCACTTTCAGCCCTCTCAATTCAACCTCCGATGTCCCTGTGACTGGCCTGGACTTCGGAACCATGTACAACATAAAAGCCACTGCCCAAGCATCAAAAGTTGAATGCCCCGGCAAAACACTCGAAAATTGGGGCGATGGCAACTTTTGCACAGGTCAGCAATCGAAAGTAGTGTTATATTGCAGCTTAAAATCAAGCAGAGTCTCGATTAGAAATAATGTGCAATAGGTGCTTTGAAAAACTTGACCCCCCCTCCCCCTGACCACCCTTTGTTACTATAATTTGCGACATCCATTTTTAGCACATCGACTCAAAAAATTTCATGCGACTCGCGTAATTTTTATTTAATCTGTCAATAAATCTTGAGTAGAGCTTCATTCGTCTTTATCTTCGGACAATATGTTTACGACAGAATTTTTTTTTTTCTCTGCATTCATCTTTTGACTTGTAGAGTTACTTGAATACTATCATACACGTATCTTTCTTTTTTGTGGATTACGTTGCTTAAAAAGTTCATGATGTTTTTTTATTCATGGTTTTTGTAGAATTTTTTGAATTCTATACATATCCAAGTAGATTTCGACGTAGGCCCGTAACGAGTAGAGAGTGCCCTCCCTCTAGCTTCTTGGCCCTGCTCGAGGCGATACTCGTAGATGCGTACTTGCAGCAATTCTGCCAAAACGTGGAGGTCGGATTCGAGGATTCCGCGTTGGACAATACTCTGGCAGGGATCGATCAGCGGGTAAAAAGACGACTGATATCGAGCGAGTTGCTTTCGTCTCGAAGCCTTGTGGAAGGATCAGTAGTCCCGGTAAAAAGGCACTGGATGCAATTTAGCAAACAATTGGACCCGGGGCGAGCGCTCTTTAACGCCACCGGCTTGTAACGGAGGGTTCGATCTCATCGCAGTCTTCCACGATGGGTTGTTTCTTTTCGTCAGCCCCAACCTTTGACAAATGCGGACTCGTGTCTCCGGCGATAAGTGAACCATCGGCTCGTCGTTAAAAATCGTCTTGTAGTTTTCGATGCAACCCTCGTAGTCGATGCAAAGGGCCGGGCAGTGTTACCTTGTGCGGACTTCTTGCTGCAGTCGGTGATAGCCTCCTCAAATACTCAACATGACCTCATGCACCTCCTGCCGTGTCGAATCACTGTTCCGGTAGTGTTCTCGGTATAAGTTTCGACGTCTAAACAAGACGTTCGAAGCTTTGCGGCAGAATGCTTACTGCTGCGTTTTAGTTCGATGAAAGAATACAAATGTTGTCTGAATTTTGGTTTTGACAAATTGTGGACCGGATCGGTGGGAGGGTCGAGGTTGCGGTGGGTTATGCGATTCCCAAACTGGTTCCGAGAAAACTGCCCACGGTGCCGCCAGATCCAGGAGGGCAGATAAAGCCGAACAGTATCGCGGGTTCACAGATAGGTGAGGGGCAGATTCAGGGGAGTTCGAGTAATTGTGGCTCGATTGACAAGGTACCGGAAAATTCGCTAACTGTTTACGAGAACCAATGTGTTAGGTTGGTTCAAGAGGAAGAGGAGAAGGTACAAGCTGACTGGGCAACGGACGACGAAAACGACCCAAATGAAGTTTACCCCGAAGTAGTCTCGTTAGAGGAGGCACTGCGAAGGTGCACACCCACGGGGAAAACGGAAACGGTTGCGAGGGTTCACGAGACAGCGACGAACACGAACAAAGATAGCGAGACGATTCGAAGGAAACGAACACCCGCTGAAATTGAGAAGATGCAGAAAGAAGACGAAGCGATCGCCCAAGTATTCTACTGGTCAGTAACAAGCGACGAGATGGTTGACATGCCGTCGTTGGGGACGAACCTCATCCCAAACGAGCAGGCAATTCAGTACGGACCTGAGACACTGGCCTACTGGTCAAGTTGGGATGAGTTGAGTATTAAAGATGGAATACTCTAGAAAAAGTGGTTTCAGCGAGATGGCTCGAGGCCAACCCTTCTGATGATAGTTCCAGTGGCGGGGCGGAAAGAAATTTTCAGCCAATCGATTTGATGGAGACTGGCGGAGTTCAGCTTGCGGCTGAGAAGACTCTAGCTAAAATACGGAAGATGTTCTGGTTGCCGAAGATGAGGACTGACGTTGAGAGAAAGGCAAACTGGTGCCCAAGCCGTGCATATCAGAGTACAGAAGGAAGCAGAAGCGAGCGGCGGGTCAAGCCCCATTTGATCGGGGAATCAGTTTCACTACGGTGAGAGTGGATAACTTGGGATCAGTGACAATGGCGACGAGCACCGGAGCGAAGCATGTGCTGGTAATGACGGATCTCTTCACGATGAATGCAATTGCAGTTCCCCTGTAGACAACGGATTCAGCTGACGTGGCTCGAGAGATAGTGGAAAAATAGGTTCTGACATTTGGAGTTCCGAACAATTTGCGAACGGATCAAGGGAAGAGTTTTGGAGGCATTCTGATCCAGGATATGTGCCGACTTTGGGTATTGACAAAACTCAGACTTACCCCTACAAACCGCGAGCAAATGAGCGTACGCGGAGGCACAATGTAAAGATGACCGAAGTGGTTTTGACCTATTGTGTGGAGAACTCAAAGACGTGGGACACGACTTTGCCGTACTTGAATTTTGTGTACAATACGACAATCAATCGGAAAACGGGAGCTTTGCCGTTCAGTATGGTGCATGGACAGGAGTGCCAGTATCCAGTTGACCTGTTCTACGCAAAGCCCACAATGAACCGTTGACAAAAGATGGTTTTGCGGAATAGCTAGACGAGCAAATCCGAGATGCACACGGGAGTGCGAGAGAACTCCTAGGGAGGGATCAACGTCGACAAAAGGATCAGTACTGGAAGAAAATTCACGAGGAACCCTATGCAACTGGTGAAAAAGTCTGGGTGTGGTCTAAGGAAAAACTGAAGTCGAAGAAGACTTTCGATCCGTGGGAATGACCATACATTGTAATGGCCAGGATTTCATAAGTGACCTGCAAGGTGGCAAAGCAATCGACTCCCAGTAAAACGAAGTTCATGCACTTTAACATGCTGAAGCGAAGAGTGCAGGACACGAGGCACCCAGAGGAAGTTATTGCAAGGAAGCGACCGACACCATATCGGTCGACGATGATTTTTGACGATCAGGAGATGCACGTCGAAGACGAGGCGTTTTGGGCGAACAATTGGGAGGGATTCAATCATGATCCAGGCCCAAGGCAAGACCCCGTGGGATTGATGGCGCGAAGAAATTGAGTAGTGGTGGAGCTAATAGTTAATCTACCTGGGCTAGACGGAGTCTGGCGACGGCAGAGCGACAAGGCGGAGACCTATGACGAAAAGCAAACGGAAGCCAGAAGGAAAGAAGAGGACGCAAAATTACCGAGTGAAGCTGAGGGTAGACCACCGGAGGAGACGGTGGTAGCTGAACCTGTGTTGGAAAGTGAGGCTACAGATGTAGGTAGACCAATTCGAATAAGAAGGCCGCCAGTTCGGTTTGGTATCGAGAGTATGTGAGTTAAAACTAGTTTTCTGAAAAATTTGTCATTCAAAACTTGGGTGCTTGTTTTTTTTTTCTAAGTGACACTCCACCTGAGTATTTTGTGTGTAACTGTTGAGCATTAACTCTGCTGAGTAAGAGAGAGGTTGAGTCGTACCACGATAAGAAAAGTTAATAGCAGACAAATCCGCTAGTAAGGATTCTCTTAACAAATGGTGCTTACTAGTTAAATTAATTTTGGTCTTGGGGATTTGGCTGATGGGTCCGCGATTAAATTTTAGGAACTGTAATACTGAAAGAAGGAAGAGTAAAAATAAGGTTATGCATCAGCGTGATAATCATCTTGAGGACTGGTAAGTACGAGCGAAAGACAAGTGATGTTACCTGGTTGTTAATGGACATGCAAGCTTAACAGAAAGTTTTATTTTGTTTAGTAGAGCGGTTAGCAACATGATTTTGCGTCAGTTTTGAATTAAAGGTGTTGGATATGATTAGTTAGCTAGTAGAAAGGCCATCCTAACACTTTTTGCCTAACTTAGAGTTCAAGTGAGAGCTTTACCTTGGTAAATGCATGCAGTATTGTAAAACTAATGGGGAGCGCGTACTATGAAGTTTGTTTAGTCAATAAGATGAGTAGAAGAGTAAACAAACAGTGAAGTCCAAAATAGTTCGAATCCCCAAGGATATAGTCCCTCCTATGGTGGAAAACGCAGATGAAGTAAGATCGGCGGACCCCCCAAATGGAAACTACAGTGGCTAGCTTTATGAAACTCATAGGACGGATACTAGAGATGATTTGACCCGGGCATGCAAAAATCCAGACCCCTCAGACCCCCCAGCCCAAAGTGATAACGGTTCCAAGAAGTGCAAATGGCCCTATCAGAACTCTGTTTTTAAGAGCTGGAATGGAACCAAAACATAGTATGTTATAAACCCAGTCGAGGAAAGCTTAAGTTTAGAATCCCAGACCCCCTGGACCCCTACTTCCCGTGCTGTGCCTTATGGAAATAGTCCCCACCTCGACTTCCGGAAGTCGTGTCTCGGCCCCCACTGATGAACGCAGGGAGCTATAACTTTGGGATAGCATATATCGTGACGTGATACATCATGTATATAAATTGAACCATATCCGGTGTTTGGACCTGAAGTTATTAGCACTTTGGAAAACTACCCTTGAAACCGGAAACAGGCAATTTACGCAAAATAATGAGCGAGGGCATATTGATTTTACGGCGGCAAAAGAAACTACAACTCATCCTCGAAAAAAACCCCTCGTGATTGAAACCCCTCCGGCGACTCCTTCCGGTGTTAATAGCTTTTTTCCGGGAGAAGTGATAACGGACCGTAGAATTGGATAACTTGGGAAGTATTAACGGGACATGGATGAAACTTGGTAGGTAGGACCCTTACGTAATTCTAAACCTGAATGTAGAAGAATGACCCCGGGTTACCCCGGGTTGACCTCAATTTGACTTTTTGGCGTTTAGGACCAAATTTGTATAAAAAACTTCGGGATTAACACCGGAAAATGGCGTATTCATTCAACCCCAACCCATGGAAATGATCATTGGTCACCCTGCCAATATTTGGGAGGGAACTTGCCTATTGGGAAATGAGACAGAAGATGAAAGAGATATAATTATACATTGTATCAATGAAGTAGTGGAACTAATTAAAGTG